TGAGGGGAGCGCCTGGGGCTCGGGCTGCTTCGTGCGGGGCGGCTTCCTCCGGCCGACGTCGTGCTCGCCGGTGTTGGTGGGAGCCAGCAGGCAACCGGTGCTGAGTGAAAGTGATGTGTAAACAAAGGGAGGGACCGTGTGTGGAGGCAGAGTATAAACCAGTAACATGGACACGGTGACTATTTAGATTTACAAGCAGGAAAAAGTGTCTTCTAATCTTGCCTTGGTAAGGGCTCCCCTAGCAACAACAGCTTAAATCTTAAGTGAGGGAACTGAGATTTTCTTAACTGATGTTGTCTTTACACTGTCACAGTTCAATATGTTGAATTCAGTATGTTGCATATGCCCCATCCCTGGCGGTGTTCAAGGCCAGGTTGGACAGAGCCTTGGGTGACATGGTCTAGTGCGAGGTGTCCCTGCCCATGGCAGGGGGGGTGGAAATGTATGATCTTAAGGTCCTTTCCAACCCAAACCATTCTATGATCAGAGCCTTTGGAAGCATTTTGCCTCTACGTGTAGAGCTGAAACTGTGCAGGGTGTGGTTTCAATTCCAAACATGAGGCTGCTCACAAAACCAAGACTCATTAATACGGTACAAGTTTCAAGGACTGGTACTGACAAATAGTCCTTGCAAATAGTTTTTACTGGTAATTTAACACCCTCCTGGTTAAATACAGGGTTGGTATTATAAAGGAAGAAGGTGAGAGTCACCTTGATCTTGATACTTGGCTTTGGGAGTTTTAGAAGAGCTTGCAGGGCCGAGCCCCTACATTTAGATGAACTTTTGTAAACGCAACATTTAGACTTTGTGGATCAGATTATCAACTATAATCTACATTCTCTGTTTTTGCAAAAGAAATACTTCATTTTCAAAAAATGTCTGTATGAGGCTGTTATTAATTGTACCTTAATTTTAAGGAAAATTAGATGGCTGAGTGAGAACTGGTTGTTCAGAAGACACATGACTGTGGCTGAGGATTACAACATGTCTAAAGAAATGCAAGAACTTCAGAAGCAATGGCATGCCGTGGTGCAGTCCATCCACAGCAACTCAAATGTGGGTCTGGGTTGTAATTTTATATAATATATTTATAAAGAAACTACTTTTGTAACTCTTGGAATATCACATCCCAGTTTATTTAAATGCAGTTTCAAAACTAGGGGGGTGGGGGAAGGAATTGGCACTCCCTTTTTTCATGTGAACACTGAGGAGCCTATGGGAAGGGCTGTCTTCCCACACCTTCAACAGTCCAGGAAGCCTGATCATTCTGCATTTCTGTGTTTTACTGGTATAACCTTTTGAGAGAGTAGAGTGGTATTTTAGTGGAATGATTGTGCTGCTGTATAAAGAACTAAAACTACAATATGTATTTCCTTAAGGGAAGGAAAATATCTCCACTACAGTAAAATTCCTGTATAAAGGTATGATTGCCTCTGTTAAAATTATTTTTTTCCTACCAGTAACATTATAATTAAATTCCTAACAACTTTGTGATACAGACATGCCTGCACTGGACTTACGCTCAATAAATGAGCAGGTTGCAGATATTACTGAGGCATGGAAAAAAGAAAAAATCAGTATTTCTAAATGTTACAGTATTTTTTTTTAACAAATACATTTCACTAGATTAAAATCATAGCTGTGGATTTCAGCTCCTCTGAAATCTGTGCAGCTATACTGTGATTTGTTCTTTTCTTCACTTGTTTTCAGGTTGGGTTTTTTGGTTGTTTTTAATTTGTGCAAGAATGGAACTGGGAAGCCCAAGAGAAACATGTCCGGGTTTGGTAACTTCATAGCAAATACAATTCTACCAATTCTACCAACTCTAAATTTGCAGTGAGTCCTCATGTTTTTGAAATACAGAGGCAACAGCTTCCCTTTATTCAAGCTGCAGACTTGCAAAAAGATGCTACCTGTAGTTCACCGAAGTAACAGTGATCTTTAAAAGTTACCTATGACAAGAGATAAAAACAAAATCTGAAGTGTTTTTCTTTTATCCACAGGTTGTTGCATTTATGAATTCTCGTGTTGGCCAGTATTTAGATGACCATCCTTTTCTTGCCTTATCACTCCTGATGTTTATTGCAGTGTCTGCTATTCCTGTTGCATTTTTCCTGATTTTTGTTGTTACAACAGCCATAATGGCCTGTATCGGTGTGATTGTCATGGAAGGTATTGTATGCATTCATGTATGAGCTTACTTACTCCCTTTTAAGGCATGTTGTCTTTCCTTTTTCCCATCTTCCTTCTGAAGTTCACAGCTCAAGCAATTGAGGATTTCTGTATGAAGTCTTCAGGTCTCAGCAGTAGTGAATCTCACTACTACTCAGTAGTACAAGAGTAGTAATCTGATTAAGTGTAGATGATACAGGGGAAATCCTATTTCCCTTTTTAATTGCAGCCACCAGGATATGCCTAAACCACTTATCTTGACCGTGCTTAGCTTTTATAAAAGCTAGCTAGTTGATTGCAGAAGTCTATTTTCCCAAAAGGTTTGAAATTGGGGTTGTGGTAGAATGTCAGCTGTTCTAATTTACTTGCATATAAACTTGTTTAACTAACAAACTGATTTTCTTTTATCAGGTGTTGTAATAGCCATAGGTGGCATAGCCCTCCTTTGTGTGCTGTGCGGCCTTGGTGTGCTCTCACTGGGAGTTTCTGGAGTGCTGAGTGTTTGTTACATCGTTCTTTCAGCTCTGGTCAACTACTGGTGTGCGTCAAGGTGAGTATTGATGTCTTGATCCATGCTTGGCTTTCAAACTCTGCAGCTCTACTACTGCATTGATTACTTCAGTTATTCTAAGTGAGCCACTATTGCTTAGTTTAACAAGTATTCCTTAAATGCTAGAGTATCTTTGTCTACCCTGGTGGCTTAATATGCAGCATATAAATATCTGGTCATCAATATATGTTTTAATGAGAGTTAATACATGCCCTGTTTCCTCTTCAGGAAATGCACATTCCCATTCAGGAGCATTTCCTGAATGGGATTCACAAAAGAGGAAATGTAAAGTCTTTAAATGTGCATATGCTAACACCACACAACATCAAGCAATCAAATACAACTTTGTCTTCCTCAGAATATTTGTTGCTTTAAATGTCATTGAAACACACTTCCAAATTGGACTTTGCCTAGAGGATGAATCTTTTGCCTTTTTTGCATGATAACCCACATCACTCTGCTTACCTGCATTTGTAGAGTAACGGACCGAAATTAGTTCTAGATTTGGGACAGGCAGAGGGGTACCTAAAAGGCACAGTGTGACCAAAACAGAAATTACAGGTTTTGCTGGATGCTGCACATGTGCAGGTTGCCAGTCATGCCTCCCAGTACTTTAGGCTTGGAGGCCTATTTCCATCAGCGTGGCCTTAGCCATGCTTTTCCCAGGCATCTTGCTAGGACTAAAAGGCGCCAGCAGGTTGTGCTGGAGTGCCACCTGTTGACTGCTTAAATACCTACCAGGAAATGAATGTTCCCAGTTTGCTCCTTCATCACAGCTGTGCTTCATGCACTGCTCTCAAGGACACACAAAACTGCCTATTGAGTCTGTGATATTCACAGGAGGACAAGACCGTGGTGCAAGGCCCAGTGTACTTGCATTTGTCCCCGGGCTCCATACCACTCCTGCAGGGCATGCTGCCAGGTCTTTAACCAATTCCAGAAAAGACTTCTTTTTTTACATAGCATATCCAAATACACAACCTGACCTACACACCAGTTATATTGACTTACAGCTTTAATGTTAAAACAGGTAATACTTACTCTTTTTATGTTCCTGTGTCTTTTGAGAGAAGCTCTGGTAGACCAGCAGTGAATGTTCCATGTCTAATGATGCTCAGCTTTTTTGAGCAAAAAGTTTAAAGAGAATAATCTTACATAAGAACAGACTGTAAAATTATTCATGTGTTTCCTGTTTACAGGGGTCAGATAAGGAAGAAAGAAGTTAATGGAAGTTTGCCACGGAAGAGTCCTGCTGTCTCAGATCTTTCTACCAATAATGGAAAGAATGAATAAGTGGGTTTCTCTCTGCTTCCTTCAGAGGCACTTAACTGTACTATTCTGACCTTTGCTGTATAATTGTTTATTCTTGAACATTCAACCTTTGTGCACTCCTTATGGGAACTAAAAAAAATCAATATGCATCTTACATTGCCACTGTAAAACTAGTGTTAAAAATAACCCTTAAACATCAGTGCATTGCAATATAAAGTCTATGTGCAAGATGGAATATTCCACAGAATTTGGTAAAGGGATGTGATAGTAATGCTACTGTTAAGTTAGTGATGATTAGGTGAAAGAGTAGGTAGGTGTTGGACATTTGTTACTGGAGTTCTGGATGTACTATCATTTGGAATTCGGATGCAACAGTTGGTCGTTCTGATACATGTGTCAAAGCACAGAACAGAAATGTGTTTTGAATGTTACAAGAACATTTTAAGCCTTAACAGCCTTTGTTAAATTAGTATGAGCACACCATGCAAACTCTTTATATTTATTATGCAAGGAAAATTGTGATTTATTGTATGTTAAGTCATGGTACAAGCTTTTATATACCTTTAGATGCTGCATTATTCTGAAGGGATATTGTTCTCATTGCCTCATCATATCAAGGGTATGCAGTTAGGTCTTGCATTTTGTCATATTTGTTTAGGTATTCGAATTGCCTGTTTTGCTTCTCAGTTGTAACTTCTTGTATGTCATTTAAGTTGGGGTTGGTTGGGGGTTTTTTGGGGGGTTTTTGGTTTGTTTTTTTTTTCATTTTTGTGAATGCTGTAATATTCTCAAGCATTAAGAAAGTATCTAACTATATTATTTTAATAAAGTGCTGTTTGTTTAACCATGTTGTTATTCTACAGTAAAAATAATTTTTCCAGATCTGCTTCTAGAAAGGCTACATTTGGAGCTGAGTCCTTTTCCTCAGTTAAAGTATTTTGGCTGGTTAATACTGCTGAGCCACAAACTGCAGATTACTCTCCTCACGCCTGTAAAGAAAATGCAGAATCCTAAGGCCTAAACTAGGGTAATACTCCAGCTTTGCATGAACCAACATGCTGTTTGACTCCAACTGGAGTCAAAGTCTATCTATCTATCTGAGCTATAATGTGTTCCACATAGCATTGGTGGTAACATTGTCAGCTGCAGAGATAAGCTTGCCCAAAACTTCAGCAGGGGAGTGAAATCATGGTCAGCCCTACTCTGTGTTACTCTGCAGGAGACTGACAGGACTTGATGCTATTTCATAAAAGGCTTTAGTAGTTACTAAATTCTCATTAAATGTGAAGGATTTACAGAATGGAGATCATTCCAAGAGATTTTTTTCATAATTTACTAAGTAGATAAAATGTTCGGGTTTTTTTCAGGTGCTTCAAAGCTTTATCTTAATAAGATTTTGGGTTTTTAACCCCCAGTTAATAGTAGTATACAAGTACTAAGAAAGAAAGAAAGTAAAAAAGAAATAAGGAAAAGTATTTTCTCTATTTTCCTTGTAAGAAAAGCTAGTGCTGTGATACTGTTTACATGACGTACAGCCTGGAGAAATCTATCTGGAATACGGAAGAAAGCTTTAACATGAATATATGTACACAGTTTTTTACATTGCTGGGATCCCCAGTTTAGGATCAAACCACAGCTGCTGTAGGTTACAGTAGAGCTCTGCTGGTCTACAGCAGGTGAGGATCAGGGAGGGGAATAGAATGGCATTCTTAACAATTGTGTGGTGCTGTGCATTGATCCACATCCCAGTTGTAGGTAATGCAACCTAAAAGCAAATTCCCCAGTGCCTACACTGGACTTTCAAAGAAACCTGAAAGATACTGGTGTTTGAAAATGAAGAGACTCCAGCAAGGTAGTATGTCAGGGGCATTGAGGTGAAGGAGGCATTTTGCACTGGCTGGTAAATGGAATGCATTATCCCTTGTGCAAATGGACTGGTCGCTGCTTTTAAGAGCTGTGAAGTACTAAAGTAAGAACTAGAAATCCCTACGACTAGCAAAAAATGAGCCCTGAAATAGCAGTCTGGTCATTACGGAATCCTTTCTGCCTTTCACCAGCCTACTGGCTCCCCTGGGGATACAGTTCAGGTCTAACCTTACTTTGCAAATCTTACTTTTTCTAGGCAATAATGCCTTCAATTTAGGAGTTGACTGGCTGCTAAGAGCACACTGATGGTTTTGAGGAAAATAAGGCAGAGATTAGTGTGACTTGGTTGTAGCACAGTCACCACTTCATTTATGTAATGTTTCCAGTGTTATGCCTCTTTTACATGTTGAACTACTGTAATTTCAAATACACCTTGAAAATAAATCCCTTGTTTGTCTCCTATTGTCTTCTATCAGTCAGCCTAAAATGAAATATACATAAGTATTACTGTGCTCCAGACCTCAAATGAATTGGAGAATGCACTCCACAGGAGGGAAATAATGATGCTGTTTATCATCTGTGCTACAACTTACCAGGCACAGCCAGAAAAATACTAGCTTTCTGCATGCTTATTCACACAGCTTGTACCTTTTCACTTTTATGATCTTGCTTCACAATCTGAAGAGACTAACCCCAATCTACATTTGCAAATCTTGCTGGAAACTTGGGTTAAGGTTAACACAGTTCTTTACAGAATTGTATTAAGATATTTATACTCAATTAGACCCTGAAAGTAAAGAAAGTGTGTTCTCAGTGCTGCCTACTCATCACTTTATAGGATTTACTTACTTCCAGGCCCCATTTGCCTCTCCACAGCACAAGTTCATTGTTTAGTCTGTCAGTGGATCCCAGTCACTGTCTTTAGCACTAAAATGAAATTCTGCTCTCCCTGCAAGCCTATTTCCAGCACTTCACTGCCAGCTTGGAGACACGCGCTGCCTCGTTACATCCAGCATCAGTTTTGCCTGATGGTGGTGCAGGGAGCAGAGGAGCTGCTTTTTAACCTGCATTAACAGCATCTGCTGATGCTTAGAGCAGTGGCTTTCCAAGCAGCCCCGCAGATCTCCAAGGAATCGGCAACCTGTATTCTTTCAACGTGAAACACTAACATCTTCAAGCTGCTTATGGGGATCAATTTTTCCTGAAGGATGGATTTTAAAACAGATTACACTGAGAGCTTGAACAGCTGCATCCCCAACAGCTCCAAGGCTGTTCAAAACTTTTCTTTGCCTGGTAAGTACAATAAACAGGTAAGTGAAAATATAAATGAAAATATACAAGTATATAAGGTATAATGGGGGGGTGGAGGGAGAGAGGGAAAAAAAAAATCACGTATGTGAAATGGTTTTGAAGAAAGCCTGAATGTGGATACTATTATCCATATGGTTGAGCAAGAAATATCTCAGAAATATGAATAAATGCATTGAAACTTATTAATTATAAATGTATGCATTTGAAAGCGTCTAATTGCACATATGTGGAACGATACACACTGCTGTTCTTCCACTCTATTAATGTGTGTTTGTACCTATGAAGGAAAGAGTGGGCGTATGCACATTTGATTAGACGTGTTTTAACAAACACATTTGTGAAAGCTGGTGAGAAGATGCCTGTGTGGTTATACACAGCCACACACATAAAACACTTCCTCATTTTACACGTGCCTAAGAAATACATTATTGTTTGCATTCAGAGCACTCGTTGTCCATTAGAAGCCAGAATATCCACAAGTCATGTCTTCACCTATGGTCCTGGCACAGCTGACTTTTTCCTGCATACGCTTGTCTCTGCAGGTAACCCCAGCAGGATGAGCTATGGCAGCTTCATCATGCCCACCCTGTTTGGCATTATCTGCCTGTTGGGCATTATTGGTAACAGCTTGGTTATCTGTACAGTCTTAAAGAAATCTGGCCCTAGCAGTAGTGTCCCAGATATCTTCATCATCAGCCTCTCCGTGGTGGACCTGCTCTTCCTCCTGGGCATGCCCTTCCTCATCCACCAGCTGCTGGGGAATGGAGCCTGGAGCTTTGGGGAGACGATGTGCACAATCATCACTGCCCTGGATGCCAACAGCCAGTTCACCAGCACCTACATCCTCACTGCGATGTCCATTGACCGCTACCTGGCCACAGTCTACCCCTTCACCTCCACTCGTTTCAGGAAGCCCTCTGTTGCAATCCTTGTTATCTGCATGCTCTGGGCCCTCTCCTTCCTCAGCATTACACCTGTGTGGATGTATGCTCAGCTCATCCCTTTGCCTGGAGGTCTACTGGGCTGTGGGATTCGTCTGCCAGACCCCCAGAGGGACATCTATTGGTACACTCTCTACCAGTTCTTCCTGGTCTTTGCCATCCCTTTTGCCCTCATCACAGTGGCTTACAGGAGGATCTTGCTCAAGATGGCCAGGTCCTCAGAGGCACTAATGAGCCAAAGATGTACCAGGGCTCGAACCAGGAGACTGACCCGTACAGCAGTTGCTATCTGTGTGGCATTCTTTATTTGCTGGGCACCTTTCCACATCCTGCAACTGACACAGCTCGCCATGACTCACCCCACGCTGCCTTTCTGCTATGCCTACAATGTAGCTATCAGCCTGGGTTATGCCAACAGTTGTCTGAACCCCTTCATCTACATTTTGCTAGGCAAAAATTTCCGGAGGGGGCTTGGGGTCCCTGTAAGACCAGCAGTGGCAGGGCAGGCGTCCCCAGATGGGAGCAAAAGTGTGCGGGAGGATGCAGCTGGGTCAGGGCAACCACTGTTGCACTTGGTGTCTGTCTCTGGCAGGTAGCAAGACTCACAGTAACTTGGGTATGCCTC